TTGGTATCCCCAAAGGATGTGCCCTCACTGCCTTGTTCATAAACATTTCCTGGGAACCAGGCCTGGATACAACAGAGAAAGCTGGCCTGCACCAAGGGACCTATCTAGTTATGGGGGACAAACTCGTGGTCCTTTCTAGGAGCCATAGAGTTAAAGAAGGGGTGCTCCCTCTGTGGGTTGATGCCCAAGCTGGTATCACAGATGAATGGGTGCTGGATAGTGATGGGGTAGCCCAGCAGACACACTAGAGCTTCACAGAGAGTGTAGGGCGTGGGCACCAAGGGAAGCAGGGAGCTGCTGGGCTGAAGCAGATGGAACCCCTAGGTCTGGTGCCCCAGACTAGGTTCTGCTGTCTAGGTGCAGGCTTTGGGGGATTTAAGTCAGAGTCAAACTTGTGCTTTGGAAAAACCGGTTGAGGTTTGGAGTCTGTTGTGAGGCCAGAATTGAGTCCAGGGACAGAGATAGAAGACAGAGATGGGGCAGCAGCGGGGGATCTGGGAGTTGGTGAACTGGGACCACAGACTGTTCCTAGGCATGGGGAGAATGCACTAATCCACATGCCAAAGTTGCTATGAAATTGATGAATGAATTTAGAGCAATGATACCTGAGAGGAATGGGCACTTTCATGGACTGTTTATAAGGATTTCAATGTACAACAAATTCAGCAATAGGCAGCAAGTCATGAAAGAAACTGGGCTTATCTACAGTGTGTAATTCCATTTCTCAAAATTTATCTTAAGGGAGAAAATAAAGCCATAACCAAAGATTTGCAAACAAGACCGTCTATCTAGCTTAATGTTATTAATAATGGGAAAAATTGGAGATAACACAAATATCCATGAGAAAGGGTGTGACAGAACAGTGTGGCATATCATAAAGCATCTTACACAAACCTTCAAAGTTATATTTGTAAGGTAGACTCTGGCAACAAGTTACTGCTTAATAATGTTATTTTAATAATGTCATGAAAAAGGAATCAATTTCATAAAAATTGTTTCTGAAGCATATTTATTAATAAGAAAATTCATTTTAAAAAGATAATTGTGTGCATTTTCAAAAGCCTATCTTTAAAATTTGAAGAATTTTTTTAAAATTTTTTTAAATTTTCCATAGTATGTCTCTGGCTGGTATAGTTTCACTTCATTTAAATTTTCACTTCATTTAAATTTTATATATATATGTACTTTCCTCAAAAAAAAAAGAGGGGCTGAGGTTGTGGCTCAGAGCACTAGTCTCCAACATGTGAGGCACTAGTTGCAATCCTCAGAACCACATAAAAATAAATAAATAAATAAAATGAAGGTATGTGTACATGTACAACTTAAAAAATATATAAAAAGAAAAGAAAGAAGTATATTATATACAGAAGATAAAAAGTAAATAGCAGACACTTTCTGTTACCCTCTCTCTCCTACCACCTTTCCCCGAAAACCTATTCCACTTTCCAAGGCCACTGTCTTGTTGGTCTGTATAGTTCAACTCTTTCACTGTATGTGCATTCTTGAAAACACACACACACACACACACACACTCACTCACTCAGGGGGAGAGAGTTGGTGTTGAGATTTTATTTTTTGAAAATAAAGTCATACTCTGTATATTACTCTAGAATTAGCTTTTTAAGCTATCTATAATTGATTTTTCTAGATTAGTCCATATGAATCTTTGGTATTCTCATAAATAGCTATCTAGGGAAAGTTTGTATGTACCAGAATTTTGTAATCATTCCCCTTTTAAGGGTCACTTCAGTTGTTTCCACTAGAAAATACGCAAGTGATGATGCATTAAAAATCTGGGGGTGGGGAGTCAGCATAGTGTACTTCTATATCTCTAAAGATTAAATGCCTAAAAGTGGAAATTCTGGATCTCAGAGGAATTCCTTTGAGATTTTTTAGGTAGTTCCAAACTACTTCCAAAAGGCTGCTCCAATTTATACTCACTACAGTGAAAGACAGTGCCCTTTCTCCTACCTCCTTGCCAATAATGTGATGTTGTTGATCTTTCTTTACTTTACCCGTGTGTTAAGAATAAAGGGAATGTGTTTGATTTATTATTTATTTCATTATTGGTCAAATGTTTATCCTTTCTTATTTTTAACTTAGTGTATTCCTCCTGTGAATTAAGAAGTCATTATGTTGCCTGCTTTTTTACTCCATTGCTTGTATCTGATTATATTGTCTATAGAAACTTAACCCCTTGTTTAGAAAATGTGTTATAAATATTTTCCCTTGGTCTATTTTAGAACTTTTGTTTATGAGGTCTTCCACCATAAAGTGGTTGTTAAGCCTATTGTGTCGCATTGGTTTAGCCTTTTCTTGATGGTTTCTGTGATCCATGCCAAGTTTAGGAAGGTGATTTTTATTTTGATATGATAAAATTACTCTTCTATTTTGTTCTAGTACTTCTGTTGGTTTGGTGCATATGTGTTTAATTTTATCTGGAGTTTGTGTGCATAGGCATATAACTTTTTTTATTTGCCAAATGGAAAGACATCTGTTGAATATAAATGAGATTTTTATCAAATGCTAAATGATGACTTATCACATTCTCTCTGTGGTTCTCTTAAAGTATTGGTTTATTCCTGCATCCTTCTACTTTGTTTTGATTATTTTAGCTTTATGATGTGTTTTTGTATCTGCAAGGGGAAACAATGCATAATTATTACTGTTTTGCAAAATATCTTTCTTCCTGTTGAACTTTGGAATCAATTCCCTAATTCTCAAAAATCATTCTTTTGGTGTTATGTTTGTAATTTCTGGGAATACATGGTTGATTTGAGATGAACTGATACCTTTATAAAGCTCTGCACTTTTACCCAGGAACATGACATGCTTTCTATTCACTCACTTTTATGTTCACTAGTCAAGTAGTCTTGTATTTTATTCATTGAAAATCTAGTGTTATTTATTTATAAATCTTAGTTATGTGTTGGTGTTTCAAATATAATTTTATTGAAATTGAAAATTTCCCACAATTTCATATCCTAAAGTGTTACCTATGCAGCAGAGAATTCTATTCATTTTTACATGTCACTCTTATGTTCAGCCACTTTAATTCTTGTATGGGTTTTAACAGTTCAACTAATTCTCTTAAGTTGGTTGGTTTGTTTTTTAGTAGACTAGCACATCATTTGCAGGAAACATTTTCACTCTCTTTTCTTAATACTTACAACTTTTTCCCCCTTCATCTCCTTACATTGGGTAGAATCTGTTGAATATTGAAAACTGTGAGTGAGCAACTTTCCTGGTTTCTGCCACAAATGTTTTTTTTTTCCTTTACATATGAATGTTGTTGTAAATTTTGGAAGACACCTTTTAATGAGTTGAGGAAATTTCCTTGAATACCTTCATGCAAGGATAAATGTTTCCTCTCTTATTCAGAAACAAGAGTTGGGTTCATATTAACATTACACTAAAGTCTGACTTGCCCAAGACAGGAGGGGTATAGGACAGACTGAGAAATGTCAGAAGAGCCACTTATCTAGAATAGGGAGCCGGATCCCAGCCCCAAAGACATCCCACAGTGATTGAGATATGTCTTTTACACAAATTCTACACGAATTTCAAAGAATCTAGGTGCATGTCTTTAATACAAACATTGTCAAATAGTCCTGATGCTAAGGTTAAAAAATGGTGATCCCAATGCAATGAATAATCTTCCAATGTAATATAATATCTTTATTTATAAAGATAAAATCTCACTTGGCAAAGCCACCATCAATTCTTAGAGTATAACTTCTGCAATTTTCTTTTTATTTTTCTTTTGATTATCTTAACGGTACATTGTGTTGTGGTATAAGAATACACAAGGTGATTCAATCAGGGAATGACTAAGATGACTCCAGGCCATTGACTTGGAGACAAATTGCTGAAATGAGGACACTGCAGGGGATCAGATCTTCAAAGAAATGTGTTTAGTTGGAAGCTGTTGAGTTCCAGGTGCCTGCAAGACATTCAAGCAAAGATAGGTTCAGGAATCAAAATATATGTAGATCTGTGGCTGAGAAGAAATGTCAGAGCAAGAAAGAGGAATCTGGGACCTCTGGGCAATTGTGGAGTGCATCGTAAGACTCAAATCAAAAAGAGAGGGAAGAGTACAGAGGAAAAAGCACCTGGTAATAGTCTAGGGTCATCAGCAATGCATGGGTCAGAGAGAAAAGGAAGCTATGTGAGCAAGAGAGTGGGCCATCTCCACAATCAATGAGAAGAGAATGACCAGAAAAAAGGGAACTCCTGCAGAGACCTCAGGCTACTGGGAAAGACCTACAGATTGAGACAAGGGCCTTTTAGATCTTGACATAAGAAGTTTCAGGAAAATATGAGGGTAAGAGCTAAGGGAGTCCTACCATGTTCCAGCATGCAAAACAGTGCCTGGGGTAGGTGGGTGTTTCATAGTAATTTTGGATAGATCGATGAATGGATGGATAAATGGAAGTATGTATGGATACAAAGAGTGGTCTGAAATATCAGGGAAGGTTTCATGAATGTGGTGGGACTGTGCTATGTCTCCACAGGTAGAAATGCAAGTAGAAGAGTCCATGTGGAGGTGCCTTAAGTCAGGCATGACCCAGTGTCAGTGGATCCAGGGAAGAAACTGTCATGGCTGGATGATTGGGGTTTGTCTAAAGGATATTCAGAAGTTCTAAAATGAGGCCAGGAGAAGTTGAGCAGGTCCAAGTCAGCTCAGGACTCTCTCCCACCTCACATAGCCACTTAAGAATATGCTTCACTAAGGGATTCTTGGCATCAACTGTGCTTAGCCTTTCTGTCAGCACTGAGAACCTCAGAGATAGGAGACATACTTGGAGTATCTCCAAGGCCATGGGCAATGCATGCCTGGGAGAGGAGATGAGTGTCTGGAGGGCCAGTCAACAACCTGCAGTATGCCAAGGACACAACCCCACCCGTCACACTCAGTAGTTTTCATTCTTGCCCAACCCCTAGGGGGCAAACCCCAGGTGCTGACCCTGTGGGTTTTAGTCCAAACCTCAATCACTGTGGTATGTCTTCGGTGGTGGGACCCGGCTCACCGTTCTAGGTAAGTGGCTCTTCTGACTTTTCTCAATCTGTCCCATACCCCTCCTGTCTTGGGAAAGTCTATTTTCTCTCCCTAAGGGCTTCTTACCCTCTTCCCTACCCTGTCTTAAGGACAGACCACTTACCTTTTTTCATGGGGTCTGGGGGAGGTTGGTGATCGCGTGGTAGCCAGCAGGAAGGGTCCCAGCAGCAGAAGGAGCCACCTTCAGATTCCAAAAGCGGGATATGGCCTTGTCCTGAAGGCCTGGGCTGGAGACAGGGACAGGGACAGGGGTCCCTTTCCCTCCTCTAGGGCTGAAAACCAAGTGGGGACCAGGGGCCATGTTTAATTAGGGAGCATTAGGCCTTAGAGAGAGTTCACAGGCCCCCAGAATCCAGGCTGAGGGCTGGATGTTCATCCAGTTTGGGAAGGCTTCAAAGAATTCCCAGGGACAAGACTGGAGTTGGGACCCTAGCCCCTGGGCACTCAAGAGGTTATCCCAAATAGACATCACCAGAAGATAGAGAGAGAGAGAGAGAGATCTGGCTCACTCTAGGATGCACCTGTCTGGTTCTCTAATGGGCCTTGAAGGCAGAGGGATTCAGAGCCAGATTAGACTAGGCAAGGTGACCAGAGTCCAGCCTTCCCAGGGTGGTCCTCAGGAAGAAGCAAAGACTCATCTTTCCCTGGAGCCCCTTAACGCTGGGCATTGAGACCTTGATTATTCATGCATCAGACTCTGCCTTCCTCAAAGTGCATGTTAAATTCAGGAGATGATAAATGAGAAAGCAAATGGAAGCTCACAGAACTACTTGGCTGCTAGGTGAATTCAAGTGTCATTAGGAACTATGAGGGTGGGTGAGGGCTTCTGTGCCCCATAGTCTGTGGCAGTGAGCAGTCCCAGGCAGAGGCAAAGGGTCTTGTAATGAGGATATGGCAGACTTGGAGGAGCCCCCACTTGTCTGGGTAGAGCACAACTCCTTGCCAAAAGAGCTGAGAGGACAAGGATGGAGCAGAACCTGATGTCAAAGAGGACAGGAAGTTTCAGGAACCCTGTGAACTGAGTACAGGCTCAAGGCTTCCCACACCCACCAGAACCATCCTTCCATCCTGGATGGACCAGGAACACTTAACAAAGGAGGTTCTGGGTACTAGAAGGGTAAAGTAAGGTAGAAAATCTGGACTGGTAAACTAAGCCTACAAAGGGGAAGGATACAAGACTATCTGGGAGAGGTAACTTGGAAGGTGCTATCTATTCTCCAGGTGGCTTAAGTTCACAAGAAAGGAAAGAAAAGGGAAGGAGAGTCCTTGAAGGGTTAAGAAAACCACAATGAAAATGATTGCAGAAACTTTGGGGCATCCCCAACACCTGGGCTGTCCTATGTTGACCCACACCACTTCTCTATCCACACAGGTCAGCCCAAGGCTTCCCCCTCGCTCACTGTATTTCCACCCTCCTCTGACGAGCTACAGACCAACAAGGCTACACTGGTGTGTCTGATCAATGACTTCTACCCGGGTGCTGTGACTGTGGCCTGGAAAGCAGATAGTACCACAATCAGCCAGGGTGTGGAGACTACCCAGCCCTCTAAACAGACCAACAACAAGTACATGGCCAGCAGCTACCTGACCATCACGCCTGACAAGTGGAAATCTCACAAAAGCTTTAGCTGCCAGGTCACACATGAAGGAAACACTGTGGAGAAGAGTGTGTCCCCTTCAGCATGTTCTTAACCTTTTGTCCCTCACCCCACCCTCATGATCCTGGAAGTGAAGGACCCTGGTGAGGGACCCCCTCCTTTTCCTAGTCTTCCCACTAAGCCCTTCTCTCTGAACCCACTGACTGCTCAATAAAAATATCCCATTGTGAATCAGAAATCTTGCTCTATCTCATTTGTTCTTATCTTTATTTTAGTTGCAATGGCCTCAGAGTTCTCAGTGTAGGGTGAAGGGTATCCTGGCACCCAGTAGGAAAAGGAGGGCCATTTGGATAATCTTCTGGGGTATAACCCCAGGAGTATCCTTCCTCAACCAAATACCCATCTCCCCAACTCTCTACTGTATTCCTGAGCCCCCATCACACAGGGTCACACCAGGTTCTTCATTCCTAAATCTCATCAATGAAGACCTACTCATGTATCATTTCACATTTCTAATGTGCCAATGGTGACTGGTTATGTCTCTAGGCAGAACGGTCACTGCTCAGGGGCCTAGATCCCCTTAACCCTGGGGCTTGGGGCCTTGTTTATTCATGCTTCAGACTCCTGCCTTCCTCAAAGGGCATTCATGTGTGTTAAACTCAGGAGATGAGAAATGAGAAAGCAAATGGAAGGTTCAGAGAACTACTTGGCTGCTAGGTAAAATCAAGAGTCATCAAGGGCTGGGGCTGTAGCTCAGTGGTAGAGCACTCGCCTTGCATGTAGGAGGCACTGGGTTCAATCCTCAGCATCACATAAAAATAAACAAATAAAACAAAGGCATGCTGTCCATCTACAATTACAAAAAATAAATAAATAAATAAATAAAAGAGTCATCAGAGTCTGTGAGGATGGGTAAGGGCTGCTATGGCTCATAGTCTGGGGGTGAGGAGCAGTACCAAGAACCCAATAGAGGCAAGGCTCTATGAGATGCCATCTCCTGCTCATCCCATCCACCAAACCCACCATAGAATTGGTGAGTGAATTCTCTTTGCTGGTGGGGACTGTGAGCAGATATTTTATCCCTGCAGAGCGGCCTTGCCTACCTGGAAGGGAGAGGACTAGTAAGAAGAATGGCAGTTGGCCATAATGAGGTATTAGGGAGAAATAAGGGGGACTCCAGGATTTCAGCTGCAAGCTAGTGGCAGAAGCATTAAGGTAAAGAAGACCCTTGATCCAAGGTCATGGTCTTAGCAGGAACAAAGTTTGAACTTTCTATTTCCTATGAGAAACCCTTTGGGGAGACTGTTAACCAAGTGAGTTGTCCATAGTTTCTTATCACCAGGGAATCATGGAAAGGCTTGGAAAATGAAATCTACATGTTCATTTCTCAGACTTTCACATTGCATGTCAGCTAAGTAAAGATACAACTTCTGCAATAGGGAAAACAGCTAATATAATAAAACAATTTTCCACATTGTGTTGACCCTCTTCTCCACCCTTGGGAGTCCTATAATATTCAGAAAGAGACTCATATTTCATGGAGCTAAGTAGGGGAACATAGGGTAAGTCAGAAGCATATAAGAATGATCACTGAATGATCCAGTGGATATGAAATTAGGCTTAAGGTTGACAATATCATGATGTTGGAATGAAACCCTGAAAGATTGGACCACAAGCTTCCAGGATGAAGAAGGTTTACAGTTAGTTGATGGCTAGAGTTGTTTGATGATCATCCTGTAAAAGGAGGAAATTGAAATCGAAATGGGTGAAAAAGATATGAAAGAAATTAAACAAGTGAGAAAAGGCACCAAATTAGGCACAGAATCCGCATTCATTGATTGTCCTAAGGAAACTGTCAGAGATCAACTAAAGACAAGAATTGTATATGGGACAGAATAAATCAGGGCAGAATGAATGTAACAAAATATCTACAAGTAAGGTTTAGCTTCCAAGAGGACTAAGAGCCCCCAGATTCTCCATCCCACAAGGCCCACTCCCTTCCTCTCTCAAGTGGCTCAGACAGTCATGAGCATCTCCAGCCCAAAGTCAGAGACACACTCTCAGGGGCCATGACAATGGGTTAGGGAACCTAAATATGCATCCCTATCTGTCTCTATTAGTCCTCTGTACCCCAGATTCTCACAGGGCCCCTTCTGAGTGTCCACCTCATCAAGACCATGGCAAACGTACTCACCAGAGCTGCCAAGATGGAACTTGCAAACACAGGGAGTTCTGGAGTCAAAATGGGACAGAGAAAGGGGTCCTCCTGGAGCTTGATTATGGCCACCCCTGATCCCAAACCACAGCTTTAACATGCCTCAGCACTTAACTGACTCCAAGTCATGGATATAGAAGCTGAGACCATCCAATGACATATCAATGGCCTCAGTGGATACAGTGGCAGGATCTACCTCATCCAAAATCACTGTCCCAAGAATAACCTCCTCTTCATTTTAAAAATTGGTGTTTATGATGAGAATTTTCAACACAAAAAGAAAACAGGAATAATAATGACTCCTATGGTTCTCATCAACTACCTATCAACATTATCAATTCATGGATGATTTTGATCCACCCACAAAATTAACATCACCCTTACATGATATTTTGAAATAAATGCCAGACATCTTCTCTTTTCATCTGCAAATATTCCACTTCTGTTCTGGAAAGATGAGACATAACTAAAATATGATTATCTACCCTAAGCAGAAATTTTCAATGATATCTTAATATCAAAAGTCAATCAGGGACTCACAAAATCTCTCCCAAATATCATAATGTATTTATTTTGTTCTGAGTATAGTACTGTTGTTATAGTGCTGGTTCTTCCTCTGAGTGTAGGAAGCTGAAATGAGAGTTGAAAGGGTGCTTTCTGCATGTGGTCTTGACATCGTCATCTTCCATAGTCTCCACATCCCTCTGGTGGCTCCAGGACAGACAGGAGCTAAGAGGAATGAGCTGTTGGTCCTGGTACTTTCTCAGGTTCCCACACAGCTCATGGCCTCCCAGAGTTGTCACTGAGGACTTCTGTTTCTTCCTTTCCCAAAAAGTGGTTCTTCCATGGAGAACATGAAAAGGTATAGTTGACATTTTGGTGAGGCCTTTTGCCAGGATGGTGGTTCCTGGGAAGGACATCATGTAGTGGTCATCACGCAGTAAGGGTAACTTCCCTTCATGCAGGTTGCACAGATGCAGCTGGTTGGGGGAGGGTCAGGGCAAGGCAGAAAGGGGTTTTTGCACGAGTCTGTGTCATAGTGTTGGGTGTTCGGCGGAGGGACCAAGTTGACCGTCCTAGGTGAGTGATTTTTTGTCCTCCTTTCTCTGCTCTCTCTAAGTTTGGGGACAATTTTCTGCTTCTTTATTCTTTGTCTGTGTCCTGTCTCTGTCCTGAGACAAGTATTCTCCCTGGATCTTAGTTCTGGGACACTGAACTCTACCCTATCTGTTCAGATGCTCGTGATTATCTCAGTGGCTTGTAGGCAGATATTCAGTCTCTGACTCCAGAGGCAGGGGACTGCACAGAATGACCTACTAAGATTCCATTGTCTGTCTGCCTGTCTCTCTGGGTTGGCATGCTGGTCCATAAGAAGTGCTCTGATCTGTTCTCCCTTGTTGGGCACTTTTTGGTCTAATTAGTTTGTAAGGGGATAAACTTCAGGCCCTATCTAAGGGCAAGAGGAAATAAAAGACATTGTGGGACTGAAAATGGTGAAATCAAAGACTTAGGACACTAAGGGAACAACATGTCATAACTCAGCTCAGGCAACCTGGACTGTAAACTCAGGATCAAAGGTCAGAAAGGAGGTAAGAGGTAGAAGGGACCCCAAGCCTTCAAGTAGTGCCAGGGACAGAGCCCAGACACACACTGGGTTTCAGGAAACTTAGGAGGAAGAAAAGAAGAGGAGACTCTGGATAACAGATAGGCAGGAGAAGAGTGACTGAAGATGAGAGTGGTGGAGGTAGGTCTCCACAGGGTACATGCTGCAGAAGCACAGGCTCCTGAGTTTACATATGAATAGGTCCCAATACAGGAAACCTACAGATATGACCTGTAAAAAGGAATTCTGGTCTCACTTTGCAAAAAGGAGGGGGGCCAAGCCAGACAGACAGACTTTGAGGAACAAAGACCCTTACCCAGAGCAGAGACTCAAGAAGAAAAACATTAGGGTGAAAATGGGTTCCTTAGTAAAAACTCTGGCCCTCACTCATAATAAAGTTTCAGAGAACTCATAGAAAGAGACTACAGATGAACCAGAAAGATGGCAGAAAGATGCATGGCAGGAAGGCAAGGGTGACATATTTGTGACAAAGCCCAAGATCTAAGAGGTGCCAGGTAAGGTGATACACAGGTGTCCTGGGTTGTTTAAAGGCTATGAACATGGAGAATAGCTTGACGAATTCCCCAACACACTTCTATATCACACATGCTCCAACAGAGTCCCTGAACAAGAAGACCCTCCTCACACACTAAGTGTAGGGGCTTCCGGGTGGACACCAGAACACTGATCCCTTTTGTCTGGTCCATCTTGCAGGTCAGCCCAAGGCTGGGCCCTCGCTCACCCTGTTCCCACCCTCCTCTGATGAGCTCCAGAGCAACAAGGCCACACTGGTGTGTCTGATCAACGACTTCTACCCGGGTGCCGTGACCGTGAACTGGAAGAAAGATGGCACCAAGGTCACCCAGGGCGTGCAGAACACTCAGCCCTCCAAACAGACCAACAATAAGTACATGGCCAGCAGCTACCTGACTCTGACAGCAGATGAGTGGAAATCTCATAATTCATTCACCTGCCAGGTCACTCATGAGGGGAGCACCGTGGAGAAGAGTGTGTCCCCTGCACAGTGTTCCTAGGTCCCAGACCCTCACTCCACCCTGGACCTGAAAACCCCAGGGAAGCTTCTCTCCTCCCACCCCTACCATCCCAGCCCTTCTCCCTCAACCCAGAAACCCTCAATAAACATTCTCCTTTTCAACCAGAAAACATGGTCCTGTTTATTTTAGTTTACACACTTCCAATCTGAACTTTGGCCATCCCATCAGGTGTACACAATTAGACCTTGAGACCAAACAGCCAGGAAAGGCTCCTGATATTTCCTTGGTAGATGCTTTCACTCTCACCCAACCTCCACAGAATTTTCTACAGCAATGGAATGGCCCTCAGCTAGAACACAGCCTGCATATTTTCATCTATCCACCCTGTGCTTGCTCCTCTTGTGCAGACTTGTTCACCTCCCCATTCCCAGGATCAGTCTCTCCTTGGATCCCCAAGGCCTCCAGGAGAATATGTGAGTTCCCTTCCCTGGGACAGTCTGAACATCACTTCATCCTTGAATGTCCTTCCATCTCCAGTCTAAGCCCACATCACCAGAGTCCATCCCTTTTTTGTCTCCCTTCCCCCACCTATAATCTCTGTCCTTACTGCCTGCAGCTACTTGCCTTTCCTTCCATGTCCATCCTGCTCCTCCCTCCCCAGGATACAGCCTTGGTCCCCATAATCCCTCTGAATATCACTCACTGAAAGGAATTCTTAACCCCTAGATCCTGTTTACTTACTCCACACTCTTCTCTGTGTGCCCTGTTTGGCTATTTTTTCTTTTTCAAAGCCCCTCAGAGACATGGATCAGCTCTACTCTCTACTGTCCCTTATGGCCAGCTCAATAGTTCCCTGTCTTTAGTTCTTCATGTTCAGCCATTCATGGCTAGTCAATGAGTGCTCCAGATTACAGTCAAGTGTTGAATTCCAGCCTTACATCTTGCATCAGTCTTTGAACTGACTCCTCTCATTTGGAGCTTTGTGTTAGTCCTATTAAACAGGTTATTGTCCTATTAAGCAGGTTATTGTCCTGGCAGCCCTACACAGTGGGGACCTGAGCTATGAGACAAATGAATGCACACGTGAAATCCCATGCATGCACCCACATATGTTACAGACATGAGCACATATACACACATTCTCTATTGTACATCCTTCTGGGGTTTAAAATGGGCACCCAGGACCCTCTTAGGTGCCTCAGTTCCACACAGGTCCCCAGCTCCACTTTCACTATGATATAAACAAGTCTCTCTCTTTTTGCCCAGTACATTCTCCAAGATGAGCTGAGCTGGGGACACAGCCCCTTCCTAGACCAGACATTAGCAATGAAACCAGTTGTGAGGTACATTTATGCCTTCTCCCTATTCCACTCCCTTATAGGTGGATGGATTCTATGAACCAAATACTGTGTGATTCCATGGAAGGAGGGGCCACCTCTTGACACTCTCTCATGTATTGTATCTGTCCTCTGAATAGGTGGCTAGCCCCTAGATTCACAGTACAGCTGTAGGTGAGTCTGAGACTGATGATAGGAGGGGCTGGAGTTCAGGTCTGCACTCCTGTGTTGTGCGTGCAGAAGAAGCATGTAGCTAACCATTCTTGCTGAATCTTTCTGTTTCCCTTGTCTTTGGGGTTCAGGATGAAATCTAGGTAGATTTTTCTCTTTTCTGTCTTGTGACACTGAAGTCTAAATTTATCTGGAGGTCTGTAAACTTTCTCTTCCTTATCTTGCCCCTCACCTCCTCCAATATGTCCCATCTTCTCAGGTTCCTTTTGGCACAGGATAGGATGATTCAAGTGATCCCTTCTTGCTTCTTGCTCAGGCATCATTGTGATTCCATCTTTCTCTCCAGTGAACATTCTTCCCTGAATGGATGAATGGATGTCTACTTTCTTTCTTTGGGTCTCTTATCCTTGGGGCCCAAGGTAATAGGGCAGTAGTTTGGGCCCCCAAGACTATCAGGTGTAGGAGGGAGGAAGGGAAGTGCTCAAAGGATAATCCCCCAAGGTCTTGGCTATGGGATGCCTTCAACCTAGGGAGAAGATCTTTCGGACTGGGACTCAAAGAGATGATGAAGGAAATAAAAGGTGGTAAGGATGTGGAAAGAATTTCCTTTGAGAAGATGGACATACAGCCAGATGCAACGGCAAATGCCTGTAATCCCAAAACTCAGGAGGCTAAGGCAGGAGGATAACAAATTCAAAGCCAGCCTGAGAAAATTAGCTAGGCCCTAAGCAACTTAGCAAGACCCTGTCTCCAATTTTTTAAAAAATAATAAAATAAAAAGGGCTATAGATGTGGCATTGTGTTTAAGCCCATTTGGATTCAAGCACTGGTAGAAGAGAGGGAGGGAGAGAAAGGTGGGCATAACTGCTGCATACCACCTCCTCCCTCAGCACAAGCAGGACACCATAGACATGATGGAGCTCAGGACACACAGGCCCAAATGTTGGCAACTTCCCATCCTATAACTGAAGGAGAGACACCAGAAAGAATCTCCTGACCAGAAACTCCTGAAAAAGACAGGTGACAGGGATAGGCCTGTGTCAGGCAGGACCTCCTAGGACAGAGAAATCTTCCACCACAAATTCACATGGCAGGGAGGCCTCTTAGAATTAACATAGACCCAATCTCTAAACAGGAAAGACTCCAGAAACTGAAGCCCTCAATCCACTGGACTCTCTGGAATTCAGACTCTTGCCCCCTCTCCCACCAAGGCAGCCCTAGAAGCTTCTCTACAGGGAGATAGAGCAGGGTCTGCAATGATGGTGCTTTGATAATCAGAAATCTTCTCTATCTCCATTTCTCTTAACACACATTCATTTGCAACTTCCCTGAGATTCTTACTTTGTAGAGGGAAGAATTCTGGCACCCAGGAGGCAAGTAGCCCAGAGAAGCAGTTCACAGTCTCTTGGAGCATCAGATGGAAAACAGTAGTCAGAAGGACTTGGGACTCACTTCTCTCTCCTTCCTCTTTTTCTTCCTCCCAGTACATGGCCCCCAACTGTCTGGGTCCTTACTATATGGAGCTAACCATGTCTGGGACCTCCTGAAATAGTTTCTTTCTCCACCCTGGTCAGGTCACTGTACCTCATGTCCCCTCTTCCTTCAGCATAGAAACTCTGCTCTGGGATGGACTCCTGGAATCCTCTCCTCCTCTTTGCCCAACTCAGCTCCTACCCACATATAGCCCCTCCCCATCACTCCTGAGAACAAGACAGTCCACAGAATTCAGAGCACACCAATGCCATTGACTTCTAAACTCTTAAATTCAGAGCCCACCTCAATTCATTATCCAATGGTAGGTTTGGGTACAAAAGAGAAATAGGAGGAAGCTAAGAAGAAAACTGCCACACAAAAGCCTTCCAAGAACTTTGGACACTTGCCAGCAATGAGCTCCTAACTCCCAGGGAACCAAGGAAATGCCTCATAATTTCTGTGAGGTTAAACAAAGACATTGCTGGGTGAAACTGAGACAGGGCATCTTGTACCTCAATTAGAGGTGGAGACATGTTTTATCTGAGGCTTCAACACTGAGAAGACTTGGGTTCTGCCGTACACCCAGGTGAACAATCCGTGGCCCCAGAACATAGTGATTCTCTAAAGTGTGTGGCACAGAAGGTCACCTGCCATCTTCTTTTGTTGAGGGGGAAGTCATTATTTATTGGGAGTATTTCATTCAATTGTGGACATCAGCAGGAAAAGTAGGTCCTGTATTGGGACTTTCTCTGTGAGACAGTGACTAGCAGGGTTGGAGATCCAGCCTCTCTCTGACCATGAAGGGATGGTGAGTCTGTGGCCCAGGCCCACCCTACCACTCATGCAGTCCCTGAACTCCAGTCTCTTTACTCTACCATGGAAGTTAGCAGGGTTAGGGCTCAAGGCCTAGGGTCAGGCCTGTGTCACCATGGGCAGGGGCTATGGAGGGGCCACAATGAGTGCCCCGCTCCTGTGGGAATTTTCTGTGGCTACTGAAATAGATCACTGCAATACAGTGGCTCAAAAAGCAACATTGATTTATTCTCTCACAGGCCTGGAGGTCAGAAGTCCAAAATGCATCCTGGGGATCTAGAACCAAGGTGTTGACAGGGCCAGACTCCTTCTAGGGACTCAAGAAGGGTCCATTTCCTGACTTTTTCCAGCTCTTAGAGGATACCACATTCCTAGACTCCTGATCCCTTCCTACAATTTCAAAGCCAGCTATGCAGCACCTACAAATCTCTCTTCCTGTCTTTCTCTTCCCTTCTCCCCTCCTTCTCTTCTCTTCTCTCTCTGCCCCCACTCTCTCTCTCTCCTCTCCTTCCATTCCCACATTCCTTGTCTTATTCTGACCTCCCATCTCCCTCTTTTCCTTATAAAGACCCTACCTTGGACCCACCCAGATAATTTGGGATAATACCCCATCTCAGGTCCCTTAACATTATCCCCTGGGCAAAGTCCCTGTGGTCACAGAGCATAACATATTCTCGGGTTCTGGGATTAGGAAGTACTATCCTTAGGGGTCCTCATTCAGTCAAGCTCAGTTCAGTTCCTAATTCCCTGGTGATTTGGGGAGACTTCTCCCTAATTTTTCTCCCTTTCTATGTCCTGTCCATCCCCAATCTGAGCAATTCCGGGGGCCAGCACAGGCTCAACCCTGCCCTCCTCTCTGGTCTTCCACAGTCCCTACTTTGTCTAGATCACAGGGAAGAGCCCTGCCCCAGGATGGGCTTACCATTCTGAGTCTGTGATTTCAGTCACATCTCTGAGACATTTTCTTTCCATGACCCCCTGATAAGTGCTCTCCAGGATCTACTTCTCAGTCACAAAACTGCCCTTGGAAGAAGATCTTATGAGGATCTTCAGTCTACAATGGAGACTATGAGATGCCTCAGCTGCCAGCTGTGGGCCACTTAGGGAAAGTCACAGTACCTCATGGCCCAGAGACTCTGAGTGATTTACCAGAAGTAGATCAATGGGTTGTCACTTCCCTGCTCCTACCATTATCAGCGTGTCTCCAAGGACTCCTGGACTCCATGCCCTTCCTTCCCACTTCAAGCCCAGAATCTCCTGCCATGTTCTCTCTCTACACTTCCCATGGCACTGATGGCCTTCAAGTGGCTTCATCCAAGGATCCTCTCACTATCCTCCTCTGTTGATCCTGACTCTGAACACTTCATGCCACTCT